CAGTAGGAACTTGTCAATGTGATGGTACCAAAGCCGTGGTGCTTCCTTAAGCTCATAAACAGTCTTGTTTAGTTTACAGACAGTCATTCTGGCTGGCTTATCTGGGTCAAGCTATTTGATACCCTCTGGTAAAAATGTGTAGGTATTATCATTGACAGGAGGGTTAAGGAATGCCGTCATGATATCCATATGATCAATCTCCCACCCATTCGACACAGATAGGGTCAAGATCAAGTACAAACTTACTAACGGTGCGACTGGAGCAAAAGTCTCCCCAAAGTCTGTCTGTTGATACCTCTTTATCACCAAGTGTGCTTTGAACTGTGAACTGCCATCAGGATTCGTCTTAAGCAAATAAATCCATTTACAACCAATGGGGTGTATCCCAGAGGGGACTGATAAACAATATATCAAAGTTTGGTTCTCTGTCAGAGAACAGAACTCTGCACCCATAGCATGTTTCTAATTGGTACAGTGATGCTGGTCAAGGGCTTCCTGATAGCTAAGCAGGTCTCCCTCAACCTTATCACTGACCCTAGACTCAAGCACTGTACAGTATGCTTGAGCCAGGTGTCCGAGTCAACCTGAACATGGCAGCTTTAGCACTGGCAGGTTCCCACGTCTTAAGCTACTCTCAACAATGGTAGCTGCCTTCCTATACTTTTCCAGAACAGTAGTAAGATCTACGGGGCTTATTTTGCCACTCTCAATGGCTGCCTGGTCATCCACATTCAACACATGACAGGTGGGAACAGTGGGAACAATGAGGAGATTGTGGACTCAGATTGAAGGAACTGAGTCATCTTCTTCAAGTGGCATATTCTCAGGAATGCAGGACCTGAGCATTTCTAACTCTTCGTTACCAATTTGCCACTCACCGATAACTTCTGATTCATCAAAGCAGACATCAGATACTTGAATCACTCTTCTGATTTGGGGGTCCCAAAGACATCATATCTTGGCTGTTTCATGCACATAGCTTAGAAATCTACACTTCTTTGCATGCTCCATAAATTTCTTTTGTCTCTGCACCTCAGGAATGAGCTTATAGGGGATACAACAAAAATGTCTTAAATGCTCAAGTTCTGGTTTCTGACAATAGAGTTTGTCATGTGGTGTGACATCTCCAACTGATCGGGAGGGAGTTTATGCATGAAGATAAGTGGACATGTTTATCGCTTCTCCCCACAATTCATCGTCAGAGTGGGAGTTCAGTATCATCACTCATGCTTTGGTAATGACAGTTCGGATCATTCTTTCACTCACACCATTCTTGTGTTGCATGTATGGCAGTGAAGGCTCGAATGATATACCATATACTCATAAGATCCCATGAAACAGGCTGTTATTATATTTGCCTTTTCCATTATCACAGCAAAACTGAACAATGGGATTTTCAGGAAAGCACTTATCAATGCGAGCCTTGAACACCTGGAAGACTGACATTACTTCTGTAGCTGACTTGCCTCGAAGAAAGTATACCAAGGTCATTCGTGAGAAGTCATCTATGTATAAGATGAAGTACTGTAGTCCCCATGCAAACTCAGGTGAAATTGGACCACACAGATCGGAATGAACCAACTCAAATGGACGAGTTGTTCTTGGAGCAGGCTTCCTCTCTATCTTCCATTGATACTTCACTTTCATGCATATCTCACATGGCAAAGTCTTTATCATAGGGTCACCAGTATATATGGAACATGGTAATAAGGTATGCAATGTGTGATAGTTGACATGCCCAAGTCATTTATGCCATAGGTCTATCAATGGTAGGATGGCAATATTAGCTAAGGTATTGGGCAACCTTGTATTTCTGGCTGCAATAAAGTTCAACTTGGTAGGTGTGAATTGATAAACACCAGCAATAAGAGAACCAAAAAGACAGTGACCAAGAAAACATGCTGAGTTCTTAAATGTGACATCATATCTTATTGATAGACTGCTGATGGATAATAGTGATGTCCTTAGTCTCAAAACGAATAAGGCTTCTATCAATACCACCTTAGAATGTAGATGTAGTTGGATTGTTCCCTTCACTATCGCTGGCACTATTGAATCATCTCCCAAGTGCACCATCACTGGTGTTGGAAGACATTTAAACCTGTCAAAGGATCAATCATACTTGCACAGGTGGTGTGTCACCCCTGAGTTTATAATCCAGTGGTTGTTTACTGACTGATTATTAAGCCTAGCAGCTTGCACCTGTACAGAAGCATAGACTACATTTGCACTCTCTTCTTTCTGCTTTGACTCCTCCCTCTTCTTCCTCTTCGACATCCTCTCAACTTGTGCTTCTGCCACCTTTTTCTTTATGTAGCAATTTTCCTACCTATGTCTCTGCCTGTTGTTGTACCAGCAGGTTACTTCACTATTCCTTTTGCTAGTCTTGAACCATCTCATTCCTCTCCCCTAGAAGCATCCTTGGTGACTTTAGGTATGGGCGACTAAGGCAGAAGGGTTCATAATTGTGCTGCTTGTATTGGTGCTTCAATAATCCACTTGACTGGTTCTTAAGGTATCTTCAATTTCCTTTACCTTGACTATCAATTCGTCGACTGTCTGTTGACCAAGGAGTATGTCACTAAAGATATCGAAGGCCAAAGGGAGGTTCATCAACAGATGAGATATAAATGCGGAGTTGGTGATTGGTTCTTCTATTCCAGACAGTTGATTCCAAAAGTACAAGAGAGTCGATATGTAATCTGTAATGGGCTTACTATCAACCAGATGAGCCCTGGAGAATTGACGAAGGGTTGACATGCATCCAGCATGGTAGGCAGCAGTGTTCAACTTATTAGTGAGGAGGTCCCACACATCTTGTGGGTTTGTTAAGCCGTGAAGAGACTGTTGTGTGGTAATGGTACAAGATTTCAACATTAAGGTGATGGCTTTGCCTTTGCAGTGATGGAAATCAGCATTCTAGATGTATTTGTTTTCAGGTGGGATTTCCTCATTCCCTAGTGTAATCTCAAAGGCATCTTCTGCATGGAGGATCACTTCTATGTGCTTGTGCTATTGGGAGTGGTTGAGGTGGTTAAGCTTAAGGAATTTGCTATACTTCAACAGATACATAGTTTGACTTTGTGGTGTAGAGGTGGTAGTCTCTATATTAACTGAGAGGGTACTGGAGTTGACTTGGTTGAGCATCTCTAATATAGTTTCCTGGTTTAGAATATAGATAGGGTGTGGCTAGTAGTTTAGTGACAACAAACAAAGGATGAAAGGGTAAAGTGTTACAATCAGCTATAGGATCTCTCCTAGCTTATATCTTGTAATAGGCAATGACTTCCATTCTTCTTCTATTAGTTGGGGGAATACTTACCTTGACTTGTCTTCTCCTTTGAGAGTTCTAATACTTTGTTGTCTTACGCTACATCTTAGATATTGACTGTTGCCAATACTAAGTCCTTATAGTGCCAACTGGTATTAGTCTTGTTCCTTTTTTGTGATAGTGGGTCTTTGTAGGTAAGGAGCATAAAGGTGTTTTATTGATAACTTATAAGATAGGAAATAACTTAGGTGGTTGTGTGAAGAACTAACTATCAGGTCCTATTGACCTCTTTATATAGTTCTTCCAGCAACCTGCTTAGAAATCAAATGAGTCAGAACTGTGACTCATACACTTGCGTAACATATAACCTTATGCCCATACCTGGTCATGTGTGAAAGTCCCATGACCTTAAAGGGGTCATGTGTGAAAGCTCATGACTTGTATAAATGAAGTCATGTCTTTTAATCCTTATGACTCATATGCACACATATGAGTCAATGCTCAACATACCAATCAAATTCAAACATAATAACTATGACTCACAACAGTAAGTCATGTGAGAACCTATGACTCGTATGTGAGTCAAGGTGCAAAAACATAACATCGTATGACTCAACTGAGTCATGTGCAAAAACCTTTAACAAATGAAATACTACTAGGCGATTTTTTAAGTAATCGGAAAAGGGAAAATCGAGGTTACGCCGCTCATGGTATAAGTGAGCCTTGGCAGCAACCAACTTGGGTTACACTATGGCTGAGCGAAGATGGTTTCTTGCATCACCCATCAACGCGGTTGTACCAAGCACTGTCAACCACAATGGCCCGCCTAGATATCAAGAGAGGTACGTGATTCAATTAGGAGCTAATCGAAAAGAAAGAGGTAGAGCTAACTGCAATTTAGGCAAGGAAATAACTTCACGAAGACGTGCAGCGATAATTACAATGGGTGTTCTTGGCCTACCATATCACGCAATACAAACACGTACTGGGGTTGCCACCTCTACTGCAAACAATATCTATCTTAGGGCAGTGAAAAATGCAACTGCTTTGGTAGTGGAGCGGCAAAAGCAGACACCTTTGGAGGTGCAAATTCTTGGACCAGGGGTTTTAGGAGAATTGGATTTGGAGGTGGAGGTTCTGGGGCCCCTGGGTGGATATGAGCGTTGGCCAGGGGCCTCAGGTAGAGAAGACCTGGGGGTGGGTATTCCAGGACTCATGGGCATAGGGGAGAGTGCCACAGGAGTCCTGGAAGTGGAGGATTTAGGGGTGCTGGTTCCCGGGCTTTTGGGGCATTTGGAAAATTGCCAAGGGGACTCAGATGTTGAAGGTTTAGCGGTTAGGATCCCGGGGCTTCTGCAAGGTTTAGATGGGGGATCAGAAGTCTCGGGAGAGGAAGGGGGCAGTTCGGAAGTGGAGATTCCAGGACTCCAAGGTGCGCAGAACGGTGTACAGGAAGTCTTGGGAGCGGAGGTCAGGAGTGATATAGGTGCAAGTCATTCAGGTGGATCAGAAAATACTGTCAGTGAAGCAGATTGTTGGGGTTTTGGGATGTTGAGACTAGAATCCAATGCAGAAACTATAAGAGAAAGTGCTAAATTCTCGTTTCTTGATCTCATATCAGAAAAGAGTATCGATTCCAAGCCTCGTTCTGGTCGGCTGGCAGCTCTATCAACAGAAGAGAAGGATGCTCTCGTGGAGTTTATAAAGCGAGATTTCACCACCCGCCGAATGCGTTTAGTCGATATCCGCCGTGAGTCTGGACTCTCACATGTGTCTGATACTACCATTTGGAAGGCCTTAAGGGAGTGGGGTATAAAAGCATACAGAGAAGAGTTTAAATTTATTCTCAAGTCTGAAAACAAGCTTCAGAGGCTAACCTACTGTGAGGAAAGAAAAGACTGGACTCTGAATGAGTGGAGAAACTACGGTTTTATGGACGAAATGTCTATTGAGATCGGTAGTCTGTTTGGCTTAAATCTTATATGGTGAGATATTACAGAGCGCTGGCATGAGGACTGTGTCGGCGCAATGAAGAAGCAAGGTATATCTGTCATGTGTTGGGGGATGATAGGATGGGGTTGGAAGGGGCCTTTTCATGTTTGGGAGATGGAGACTAAGCAAGAAAGAGAGGAGGCCGCTACTGCTATCGCAATTTTAGAAGCAAAAAGAGTGGCCGAGGAAAATGAGCTTAATACTCTGTGGAAGGCTTCTGATGAATGGAAAGAGCTGAAGCTCACAGAGCAGATTGCCTATAGGCTACAGCGCTGAGCAGAGAAGTCTGAAAATATACCAAAAAAATGGATTCCTCAAACCTGGCGTGGCAAGAAATATAAGATTGAGAGATACAAGAGAGGTGATGGAAAAGGAGTAGACTCCTGGCGATATGTAAAGGCAGTTGCTCGCCCTCTCTTGTGGCCTGAATGTCTTCTTCGGCTACAAAACAACCCTGCCTTTACTCTCATGGAAGATAATGCTCCCTCACATTCATCACATTACACCACTCGAGAGCGGGAAAAGGAAGGAATATTGAAAGTAGATTGGCCTCCAAACTCACCTGATTTTAATCCTATCGAACATATATGGACTCTTATGAAGAGCAGAATTCAGAGGCGCCGGGGTGCAGAAAGAATTACAACCCCAACGGAGATGAAATCTGTTCTGAATGAGGAATGGGCCCGGATTACAATAGAGGAAATTGATAAAGAAATAGCTAAACTTCCCATCATAATGTCTAGGTGTATTGCTGTCAATGGCAGCAATAATTTTCATGCCTAACTCCCCTACACTTTTCTTCGTTCATCCTACCTTGTATATATACTCTTTACTGTTATGTGGATAACTGTACATTTTGCATGTGTCAGTTCTACTTACTCCAGCTGCCGGGATTGTGGGTAACTTACGATCCGATTACTTAAAAAATCGCCGAGTATAACATACAATCATATGTTATGTGAAACCATTACAAATGATGCCAGGTGTGTAATATAAGTGACAATAGGTTCGTTTAGGAGGACACTATAAGGTTGTTCAGTAGGGTAGGTGTAATCTTCTGATTGTAAGGTAAGAGGCTTCGGGTTATCAGCAAGCCTCCGGACCTATAACCTGTGGTAGACAGACAAAGTGAATAGAAGAAAATAGGGAAATTTTGTAATGAGTTTTGATCTGTGTAATTCTTAACCGTATGAAAGACTTTTAACTTCTATCCACTTGACATCAAGGTGGATCAAACTATATACTATCAAAAACACAGTCTCATAAATGTCTATCTCTTTCATTACATAACCACTCTTCACTTCATCCTATAATACTCCTTGTTTCACTCCTTGTTTCACTCCAGTGCCATACCACTACTCCTTGCAGGAGTCCAGAGCAACACTTCTCCTTGCAGGAGTCTAGACCATGCAATGCTGGAGGTTATCATGAAGCAACTCCTAACATCCTCTGCTGTATAACAACAGCTTGCATAAGTATTACCTTGGACTTGGGAGACAATTCCTGAGGAGCTTTTTGAAAAGTTGTGGAAATCAATGCCTGATAGAGTGGCAGTAGTATTGGAAGCAAAGAGAGGTTATACAAGGTATTAGCTAGTTTTATTTATTATTTTCTTAGTATAGAATATATACAGTAGATGATTGAGGATTGATTATTGTTGATTGTTGAGGAGGGGACTCGGAGTGAGCGCACGCATGCACACCTGTTGACAACCCCACTGTTGACCCACGACATTATGGCACAACTGCAATTAAACATATCTCAGATCACAAACACTTCTAATGAGGGGCTGTACCAATAATGGCAAACCAGGAAACCTTATACATCCTGTTATGGGGTAGTCCAACCGTAGATAGAGCCGGTAGGTCTAAGCCGTAAGCTTCTTGGAATAAGGTAAGGTAGGATAAAACGAAGATCGTCAAGGTAGGCTCGTATTTCCCGAAGTATATTATAAAGGATATGTGTAATAATAGTTTTCTCAAGAGTAAGGTAATAAATATATTAATAAGATCTCTTCTCC